TAAAACTTTTATGCTACCAAAAAATACTATCAAGGAAGTCAAAAAGTCAACCCACAGAATAGGAGGATATATTGCAAATTACACACACACACACACACACACACACACGTATATATATACACACACGTATATATTTTACACACACATATAAATATATATATTTATAATATATATCATAAATCATATATCTGATAAGGGCTGGTATCCAGAATATATAAAGAACTCTTACAGTTCAATGATAAAAAAACAATTCAATTTAAATATCAGTAAAGTGTTTTAATAAACATTTCTCTAAAGAAGATATGCAAAGGGACAATAAACACATGAAAAAAATGTTCAACATCACAAGTCACTAGGGAAATGCAAATCAAACCCACCATGAGATACTTACTACTCCAAACTCATTAGGATGGCTATAATAAAAGATAATATTGGCTAAGAAATTCTCATACCAGTGGTAGTACAAAACGATGCAGACACTTTGGAAAAACAATCTGGCCACCTTAAAATGTTAAAGATAGAGTTACCATATAATCCAGCAATTCTATGGTTGGTATATATCCAGGATGAGATTAATATATATGTTATATATAAATAAATATATACCTTACTATATGTTTTAAAACAGAAGGAGAGAGAACAAGGGAGCAGAAACTTGGACACAAATATTCATGGCAGCATTATTTGTTTTTTGTTTTTTTTTTCTTAAATAGTTTATTGTCAAGTTGGTTTCCATATAACACCCAGTACTCATCCCCATAAGTGCCCTCCTCCATGCCCGTCACCCCCCTTTCCCCTCTCTCCCACCCCCATCAGCCTTCAGTTTGTTCTCAGCATTAAAGAGTCTCTCATGGTTTGCCTCCCTCCCTCTCTCCAACTATTTTTCCCCTTCTTCTCCTGCACCGTCCTCGGTTAACTTCCTCCTAATCCACCTATATATGCAAACATATGGTATCTGTCCTTCTCTGCCTGACTTATTTCACTCAGCATAACATCCTCAAATTCCATCCATGTTGCTACATGTGGCCAGATTTCATTCTTTCTCATTGCCATGTAGTATTCCATCGTATAGATAAACCACGTCTTCTTGATCCATTCATAAGTTGATGGACACTTAGGCTCTTTCCATGTTCTGGCTATTGTTGAGAGTGCTGCTATGAACATTGGGGTACGTGTGCTCCTATGCATCAGCACTCCTGTATCCCTTGGGTAAATTCCTAGCAGTGCTATTGCTGGGTCATAGGGGAGTTCTATTGTTAAATTTTTGAGGAATCACCACACTGTTTTCCAGATGGGCTGCACCAGTTTTCTTTCCCACCAACAGTGTAGGAGGGTGCCTGTTTCTCCACATCCTCGCCAGCATCTATGGTCTCCTGATTTGTTCATTTTAGCCACTCTGACTGACGTGAGGTGGTATCTCAGTGTGGTTTTGATTTGTATTTCCCTGATGCTGAAGGACGCTGAGCATCATTTCATGTGTCTGTTGGCCATCTGGATGTCCTCTTTGGAGAAGTGTCTGTTCATATCCTCTCATGGCAGCATTATTTTTAATAGCTGAAAAGTGGAAACTACCCAAATGTTCACCAACATGTTTATTCATGAAATGAAAAACTAAAATATCCATATAATGAAATATTATTTGTCAATAAAAAGGAGTAAAACACTGATACATGCCACAACATGGAGAAACCATGAAAATATTATGGTAGTAAGTGAAAGAAGCTGGTTACCAAAGACCACATACAGGCAAATCTTTCTATACAAATCTATAGAGGCAGAAAGATAAATCGTTGCTGAGGGCTAGGGAAAGAGAGAAAAAGGAGTGACTGCTTATGGCTTAGTTTTCCTTTTGGGTGATGAAATGTTCCACAGTTGGATTGTGATGATATTTGCACAATTCTGTGAATATACTAAAAACCATCTAATTGTATACTTTAAATGGCTGGATATTATGGTATGTGAATTATATCTCAATAAAATTGTTTGTTTTTTTAAAGGCATTGTAACTAGTCAACAGGCCCTTGCAACTTGTGGAGTTTGAGACTCTAGCTTAATTCAAGTGAAGAGTGAATAACTTTGGGCCTCCAAGGATAATATTTCTTAAATAAGCTTTCAGTTATTTGGACAGAGATGGAATTAGACAGAGATGTGATCACTGGCAACAATTCTAGGTACAGATTTTGTGTGTTACCAATTAAGGGCACAAATTTAAATAGTTGGTTAACTAGTTAGTTCCTGTGGGCCAGATGTGGTATATCTATTTCATAGCCTGTCCGTGGGAACTGTTTGTGTCTTAGGCCAGCAGGTCGTCCTCTGCTCTGGAATATATTTCCAGGTCAGTTGCTTCTGCCATCAATTAGAGTGTGTGTTCAAGGGAATGCAAACTGATTTCAACATTATCTTAAACAAGACATAATTAGGAAGGTAAGTATCCTGCCAAAAAAATTACATAATGCATTCCAAAGCCAACTAAAAATGAATTTTGGACCAACCATGCTAGATATACACATTAAGCATAGGTTTGAATGGTTCACAGTTATGCTAATAGTTACTAGTACTCATGTAGCTTTTCTTTTTAAACTTATTTAAATCTTTCTTTTAGGATTTAGAAATCCTGCTACACAAATTTCCCTAGAAAAAAGTTAACAAGTTAAAATCTCAAATGTTTGTCTCACTACATGTTTGTCTGTCCACTACTTCTAAATCCTTACAACCCAAATGTCCAAACACCTTGCTATTTAAAATGGTCCCAACCTGGATATCACCAGGGAAGTCCACTCCAAACTACTGAGTCAGAATCTGTTTTAAGGAGATCCCTAATTTGTGTGTACATTAAAGTTTAAGAGGCCTTGCCCTTCTACCTAACTGAAACTCAATGTAGAGCAGCCTCAGGAAAACTGGGCAGTGGGCCCCTATTAGTAATCTTGGTTGAGACAACATTATAGCAACCTCAAAATGCCCCTATTTAATATAAAATGGTGAAAACTATATACTTTCTCTCACTGTAAATATGCATGAAACAAAAAGAATGCTGTGGTGACCAATCTTACTTAAACATCCTGGAAGATGGAGGAGAGAGGAGCTTGTTCCTAAGGAAAGCTTCCTTGCTGTTCTAGTTGTCCCCAGACCTTCCTCCTGGCTTTGCCCTTTGGGGCCCAGCTCCCCTCTTTGTGAAAGGCCAGCCTGGACACTTAGCCATCAAGCAGCAGTGGTTAAAAAGTCAGTAATGGCAGGAGGGTTCCTGATTGAAAGATGGAAACCCCACTCTTCCAGGTTCGCTTATCAGCATGGAAAGGAGGAATTTAGATCTGGAACACCACTGTTTTCTCTCTCCCAGATAGGTACAGTTCAAATACAGTCTCCATATTCTGTAAGAATACTCTTAAGGAACCCAACTCTTCTAAACCCACAGGGTTTGAATACATGGAAAGGGGGTACCTTTACCCCCACTCTCCCCATTTCTACTTTCTACAAAGGAAGTTGATAAAACCAAGTAACCAGGAGGTCTTCCTAAAGGAACCAGTGGTCTCCATGCCATGGTGAGGTTGGGGGAAGGGGAAGGGTTCAAGAGAGTCTCCTGGAGGATGATAATTAAGATGCTGGTCCTTGGTTCTGCCCTTAAGATTCTGATTCAGGGGGCACCTGGGTGGCTCAGTCAGTTAAGCAACCGACTCTTGATTTTGGCTCATGTCATCATCTCGTGGTTCGTGAGGATGGAGCCCATGAGGTGGAGCCCCATTGTGGGGCTCTGCAACGAGAGAAGGGAGCCTGCCTGAGATACTCTCTTTCTTCTCTCTCTGCCCCTCCTTTGCTCATTCTCTCTAAACAAACAAACAAACAAACAAACAAACATTGAAAAGAAAAAGATTCTGATTCAGAAGGTCTGGACTCAGGACCAAAACTTAACATTTTAACAAGTGCCCTACGCACTGTTCTGATGTAGGAGGTCCAGGACTACACTTGAAGAAACAGTGAGATAATTGATTTAAGAATAGTAATACCAACTTTTCAACAAAGCACTTGTTCTTAGGCACCTATTTCATTTCTTGAACTGCTGTTGTTAATTTCCTGTTTGGCTCCCACTCAGCATTTACTGAGTAACTATTATTTGCAGAGAATTGTACTACCTGCTCCTTTCCTGGTATATTTGGACTGGGTGGAGGGGATGGTGAGAGGAGAAGGGTGTGATCACAATAGTCATTTCTCAACTTCCTAGAGAAATGACAAATTCATCTTTTCATAATTTGTGAAACAGATTAACCTAAACAAGTACATTACCCAACAACAGTTACCATAATTTCCTAAACTTTTTAGGGCACCAACGTACCAGAGATGTCATGTCCTTACTGGCAGGAAGTGTCCGTTCTGTAAACCAAACTGCCTACCTTCTCCACTTAGTGATACGACCACAGGCAAGTAATTTAACCTATCTGTAACTCCGTTTCTTCATCTGTAAAATGAGGACATAATAATACTCACTTCGTTGCGCTGGCATAAGGATTAAAATGAAACACTATCTAATGGATGCAGAGGGCTCTAAGAATGTAAATCCTACAGTGAAATTTCATTCATTTTTCAGTCAAAGCCACAAAACCATTGTGAGAACACTAAGAAATGTTTACAGGGGCTGATGTGTAATCTGATTTGTAGATGAAAAGAGTGAAATTTAAACTTTGTTTATTTCAAACAGTTCAAGTGAATTACTATAACCACAGGGGTCCGAGGTTTTTGTGGTTTAGGGTTTTATAACCCAGGGCTGCTTCTTCGGGAGTTGGTCTTGCTGATGTAACGCTTCGTCCCAAAGTCTGGCTCCAAATCCCCGGTCTATGGGGGGATGCGGAGGCGCGAGGTCCCAGGCAGGTGCCCCTGGGGACCAGGACCAGAGGCGCCCGGAGGTGGAGGGGCTGGCCGGGGACCCGGGCCGGCCGGCCGCTCCGCTGGGAGGATGCGGGCGGGCGCGGGGAGCGTGCGCGGCCACGTGACGGCCGCTATAAGAGCGCTCCGGGCGGACGCTCGGCTCCCGCCGCGCCTCCTCGCTGGCTGCGCTCCCTCCCGGCGCCCGGCTTCTCCAGCCACCAACCTGCGGCTGCGGCGGCGGCCGCCCGCCCCTTACCCGGCAGCACCATGACAGGTACGCGCCTCGCCGCCCCCCGGACCTCCGGCTCCCGGTCCCGCGCCGCCTCCCCGTCCCTCAGCCCCGGGGGAGTTCCCGGCAGGACGAGGACCGCCGCAAAGTTGCAGGCTGGCTGCTGCCGGGCGTGCCGCTTCCTGCGTCAGCCGCTGCCCGGCCGTCCCCTGCGCTGGAGCTGCCGCCTGGAGCCCGGGGTGCTGTCATGGGGCGGGCGGGGGCAGCCTGGCGGGGCCTGGGCCCTCTGCCGAAGCCCCCGCTCCTGCTTCCGTCTCCGTGCCCTTCCTCTTGCTCTCGCCGTGAAGGGCGGCGGGCGGAGCAGCTGCGGCGGGGCTGGGTGGGGGTGGGGAGCCGGCTCCTGGAGGCTCCAGTCCCGAGCCCCCGAGCGCGGCGCGATCGCGGGCGGCCGCCCCCGCCTCGCACAAGCAGGAACACCTGGAAGGGCCAGCCGTGAGGCCCCGGCCCGGCTCCTCCGCCGCCCGCCGGGGCGCTGGCCGCCACGCTGAGCCTATTTTTAGGCCTCTGGGGCTGGGTTGCGGAAAGCCGGAGCCAGACGAGCGCCCCAGGGGAGCGGGCCCAGTGCGGTGGGCGTGCGCCGGCCCACTTGTTGCAGGGGTCGAATTTGTCCCGAGAAGGAGAAGCTCCGAGATATTCCGATATTGACGAGGCTAATAGCGCGGCTATTACAGCAATTGAACTGCCAAAAGATTGCAGATGTACCCAGAGTTCAATTAATATTCTACCCAACTGTTACTGGCCTTTGCTGTTCATTTGTAATGTTTGCTGGGTGTTCAAGCTTATGTTTTTAAGCATTTGTCTTGTCCTGGACTTCATTTTGGATATCATACATATATATCCTTGCTTCCTTAAATCTTGTTTTCCCTGGAATCTGGACTGCCTTTGAGTTAAACCATTGGTCATTATCCCTCCCAACCCTCTGCCCCCCCCCTCCCCCGATTAAATACTCTTGGATGGACTGCCTGAAACGCTCTTAGGATGGGTTTATGGAACAAGTGAAGGTAGACGTTGATGGGGATGTCAAGTGACAGGTGTCCTTGTTCTGAACTTTCCTGCAGCGTGCCTAAGTGGGAAGTCGGTGGCCCTTGAGGTGTCGGGGAGCACTAGTTTTCTACAATTTAATAGTGATCCTGTTTGGGAAGAGAGTCCAATAGGGTATGAAGATGCTGTCTGGTTAGAGGCTGGCGCATGTGCTAGCCCCTTTGATAACCTACAGCTTTCTCTCACTTCTCAGTAGAATTTACTCTGCTTCTAGCCTCCAGATTGGAAAACGGGTAAGGGGAGAATGAGAACGAGCATGACTTCATGACAGTATGTCCCAACTCCTTGGTTGGGCAGAGTGCCCCCAAGTGACCCCTGCCAGTGTTTGATCTTAAGTATCCTGTACATTTGGATGCCTACCAACTTGCTAAAATCCCCTCAGAAATAGTATGCGCCCCGGAATCTTCTCAGGGAAGAACTGGAGAAATCCTAAAGGCTGGGCTGGTGGTCTTGGGAGGGAGGGGCTTGTTCAGTAGGAAGAATAATCCGTATATTTGCCTTCCCTTCTGCAACTGAGTGATTATTGAGAGAGAGAGAGAGAGAGAGAGAGAGTGAGAGTGTGTGTGTGTGTGTGTGTGTGTTGGGGGGGTGGTCCCAGGGTGCAGGGTAAGGGGTGCTGCTTTCTTCTCCAAGGAAAAGGAGGCAGGTTTATTAGTGATTATGAAGTCGTCCTTAAATCCAGTTAACATTGGTTGGCCACTGCTTACATAGAAGCACCAAGGAGGCAAGGCCTCTGTGCAGGTGATATTTAAGCAGAGACTCAAAGTGACTGTTGAGATGTGGTGAGTGGGGGGCCTTTGCTCCAGGTTGAGGAAATGGTCTGTAAAGCCTGAGGCTTGGCAGAAGCCTAAGCATCAGAATGAAGAATATGGCCTCTTCTCTCAGATTCTATCAGTTGAGGTCATTAGTTGGTTTTGTGCTTGGCTGAAAATACTTTTAGGAGAAACAGAAAAGGTACTTCTTGATTTCTTCATTACTACCTCTTAATTGCCTGAGGTTCACCTTCTGGTGTTAAGCTACTGTTTAGTCTGAGAATTTTGCATGTTTGGACTCTAAATTGGATTTAATTTTTAAACCTTAATCAGCCTGTGCTTCTGCCAAAGAATGGTCTTGAATAATTCTTAAAATGGGCACTAAGGTTCTTCCCCCGTCCCAAAGAGGCTGCTCCTTCATTAATAGAGGAAATTGATCTCAGAGGAGCTGATTGTCCCAAATTAGTGATTGAAAAGGGGTCCTGGGGTAGCTTTTTCCACGTAGGATATTATAACGAGTGTGGTTTTTTTTTTTTCTCTTTGTATTAAGATCAGGCCTTTGTGACACTGACCACAAACGATGCCTATGCCAAAGGAGCCTTGGTCCTGGGCTCGTCTCTGAAACAGCACGGGACTACCAGGAAGCTGGCCGTGCTTGCCACCCCGCAGGTCTCCGACTCCATGAGGTGAGGACCTCCCTGCCTCGCTGTCGGTGGGCTCCAACATCCTTACTCCACTTCTGGCATCAAAGGGTATTGAGGCCATTCCCATTCCAGGGGCTGAGCAGTAGGCGGAGAAAGACCAGAGTTGCTGAGTGAAGGATTCCTGGATCTGAAACCTCTTCCTGGCTCTCGGGAGATATTCCAGCTGATCTCCCTTCTGGGAGGTGCTATTCTGACCCCTGCTTTTATTGGTTCCAGCTGGGAGAAGGCCTCTCCTGTAAGCAAGTTCTCTAGGATGACCTGAGTGAAGGTTTTAGTCCAGGCATTCCTTTCATATGGTCACACTTCACTTGCATTCCTTTCCCCAAATGCAGTAGGGCTACTTTGTTTTCCTGTTCCCAAAGAGGGAAATCTCCAGTGACTTAAAGTAAGGAGCAGTTTTTCTCCACGGTCACTTGACATTTGTAACCTAAAGATTTACGATTTAATAGACTAGAATATTTGCCATAGGGCTGTCTGAACTAAGGATTATGCTAAGAAAGCACCTTCGAGGTGGGGGGTGGGGGACATACACTGTTGTGATTGGGTTACTTCACTTTGATTTGTTATTAAATTTTGAAGTATTTGAATGAACTGCCTCGATCCTAATACTTCAAAGATATCTGGGCACGTTCACAGCTCTGTATGGTGTTTATTTGGTTTCTCTATTCGTCTTAGAAGTTGAAAATGCACTTTGCAACTTCTTACAAGAAATGTTAGCAAATGCCAAGGACCTCTGAAACGGCATTACGTACACACACATACATAAATCTCACATACTAACCTTATTTCTAAAGGGTAATTTAGGAAGATGCCAAAAAGACTGTTTCCAAATGTGGATGTTCTAGTTTGGACATGTGGGTTTCCTATTTAGTGAGGATGTGTGTAAGAAGAAAGATGAAGTCTTGGATCCCCCTTTTCTGTGGTAAATAGCTCCACTGACCGTTTATTTTGAAGAAGATCAAGCTTACTGTGTGAATTAGAACATATTTTTCTACAGCTTGGGGACAGAGGATGCAACATTGGTTTCGTTCAGCATGTTTCATATTGTTATAAACTTTCAATAATCTTATCATATGTGTTTCCTTGTGCTCAGCTTAGTGTTTCACGAAAGCATACCCCCCACTTGACCCACCTCAAGATTGCTTTCTAAAATAAATCTTGAGTTAATTTTGGGAATGGAGAAGGTGTTGCACATCACAAACCACAGTGAGTCTCTCACTGTGCTGGAAGTGCTAAGCATACTGTAAGTGTGGGTTATATTCGGGCCTAAAACTTGGCAACTGAATAACTGAGTCCTTTAACTTTTTAGGACACACAGTTCTCTGTCACCTGCTTTAGCAAAAAAGATTATAGGCTCATTGCATGTGTTATGTGCATTTAGCATCATTTATGAAAACATGCAGTAGTCAGCAAGAATCAGTTCTAATGAAATATCATTGTTAAATACATAGGCTGTTGTAAAGATGTGCTCTTTCCCAGTGGGAGTCACATTTTGACAGTTTCTACAATTCACCTGGCCTTCAGTGGTGTAATAAAAAGTAGGAACGTTCTGTTAAAATCATGGTTAAGACCAGTATTTCATCCTCACCAATGCAGTTCTTATTGGTGATGTTAACTACACATGCAAATTAATACAGTCTGGCCTGAAGTAAATTAAGACCTATTTAAGATAGAATATCAAAGTAACAGATTGCTTTAGTAACTGATGGATAGCCTAACAAGGCTGTAATGATGGATTGCTTGTTACTTGTCTGAAAAGACACTAAGTGCTGTTTTCCGGATTTTATCTTGACAGAAAAATTTTAGAGACCATCTTCGATGAAGTCATCACAGTAGATGTCTTAGACAGTGGCGATTCTGCTCATCTAACTTTAATGAGGAGGCCTGAATTGGGTGTCACATTAACTAAACTCCACTGCTGGTCACTTACACAGTATTCAAAATGTGTGTTCATGGATGCAGATACTCTGGTGAGTGTGGCTTTGACTGAAAAGATGTATATAGTAACTGAGAGCAGTTAGGCATTTGAGGAACGCTCTTAAGACTCGACAGTAAAGTTCAGATAAAGCCACTCATTAAAAGCATCAGGTGATGAAGGAGAGTTGGCCCAGGCTGCCTTACAGCTGTCATCTGAATGGTTAAGATCAGCAACAGATTGTATCTTTTGTGTGGGAGAACCTAGGGAGAACTTAGGCTCTGCCCCAGCATACTTCTTACCTGTACTGCTTTCCCTCCCACCCGCCTGTGAATTAGGTCCTAGCAAATATTGATGATCTTTTTGAGAGAGAGGAGTTGTCCGCAGCACCAGACCCAGGGTGGCCTGACTGCTTCAATTCTGGAGTCTTTGTTTATCAGCCTTCTGTTGAAACCTACAATCAGCTGTTACATCTTGCTTCTGAGCAGGGCAGCTTCGATGGTATGTATCTGTTCTCTTTATATATGATGAGCTGTTAGTAACTTTTAGGAGCTAATTGCTTTGATTCCTTATGCCTGGAAAACAACGCATGAGACGTAGTAAACATTTTCATTTGTGCTCTTGTTGAAAATACGTGTGTATGTACACACATTTTTCTTATATAAGTACATAAGATTAACCTAAGGTAGGAGAGGCAGTTTTACACACCTGCCTTTAACTGGTTTTCTTGTGTCTAAGTTAGAGTGTGATAAATGAACCATGGTTCTTTTAAGAATTCAAGACTGTTATGAAACAAATCAAAACTTTAACAACTATCTTGAAACCAGGGTAAACTTAATGGCAAGAGCTACCAGGAGGACCAAGCATTGTCTCCATAGAAATTAGAGGAATAAGCCTGATAATTTAGCTCTCCTTCTCTTGGGAAACAAGAAGATTGAAACTGTACATAATTAATCTTTGTCTCCAAATTCTCCTTCTCTATAAGGCTGCACATCAGAATGGTATTTGCAAGGACAAAGAATAGAATGTTGGCAAAGTCAGCATCCACTTTCCATAATATTTAAGTGTATCTGTAGTTAAATGTGTGTATATAGAAAGGTCATGACTATTTGTGGATTTAGGGCCCCACATCCTTTTGAGAAATTTAACCGAATGAATTCAGAGCTCTGTTTCCATTTGAGGCCAGTCTCTGAAATAATCTGTGTTTTTTTTGTTTTTTTGTTTTTTTTAAACAAACTATCCCAAGACAAAGCTAGTAGTTAATATGCAAGAGCAGGTCTTTCTAACATTAATGTTGATAGATCTTTTGAATAAAGAGGAAAGCCAGTTGTATCCAAGAAGGAGGATATGCTCCAAGAAGAAGCCTTCTCAGCAGTGACTTACTATCAGATACTTGACATTGTGGCAAAGAGCCCTGAGCTCTGAAGCAGAGCCTTGGCTCCAAAGGATTCTTTCTTCCCTCTATCCTCTCCAAGAACAGATGCGAGATCTAAGGGAGTAGATCTTTTAAATCTAGCAGAAACCACTTTCTTCATTTGACATCGGGTTTAGCCCTCAGTATAGATGTGAAGATTCATTTCATTAACTAGTTATAAAGTTAAAAAGTCATAATCTCCAGTTTGCAAGTTTTAAACTAAGATTAAAAGTTAGTCCGATTGCTGAAGTTAAAACATGTTAAGTTATACAAAGAACTGAAAGTGGGTTACTACTTGTTGCTATTCACAGAAAACAAATTGGTCACTTGAAGCTTTGGGAGATACAGCTTCTTAAATGTCAGTAAAAAGAATAAAGTTTAAGTCTCAACCTTAAGTCACTATTCGGCTAGTTTATGCTCTATGCCAGGAGCTCTCAACATGGGGTTGATGTGGCTTCCCAACGGACATTTGGAAACACCTGGAGACCTGTTGGGTTGTCACAGAAGAGAAGGGTGCTTCTGGCATCTAGTAAGTAGAGGCTAGGGGTGCTGTGCTGTTCGACATGCTACCATGCACAGGGCAGACCCACAACAAAGCATTATCACGCCTCAAATGTCAATAGTGCCCAGGCTCCAACTTTGCTCTAGGCCAAGACCTTGCATGCTCTAAAACCACGAGCAGGTGTATATGAACTGTAATGAATGGCAGCATCTGAGAAGAAGTGCAGTCTTCTGTTAAGGACCCTCAGTAAGAAATAACATGTTGAATGTTCACTGTGATCAAGGCCAAATGCAACTTCTTTACTGACTTATTTTTTTAGCTCTATGTAAGAAATGAAAGGTGTGTTAGTATTTGAGTTCAAAACACATATATATATATTTCCCTATTTCTGCTGCTTATACTAAAACCTTGACCTTTGCCAAAAAAGGAAGAAGATGAGTATTCTCAGCGGAAGTCCACTGTCAACCTTCCTGTCAAAATATATAGGTTTCTTCACCTCCTCTGCTCAGATTTGAAGGAAGTGGTGAAATATGCCAGAAACTTAGTGTAAATTCTCAACTCCAGTAAACACATCACATTATCCAGTAGATCCAGCAGCCAGAAATCCCAATGATGATAATAGTGTAAAGAGAATCCATCCAATTTCTAATCTAGAAGAGTACTACTAGATTTTGTTGTCAAGAGTTAAGAATTTGGGTACCAAACAGTAGTATGCCATGATAAATTTTCCAGATTACAGTTTTAGAATATAAAACTGATTGACTGGTAGAAACCAATCTGGCTCATCTACGTTGTTGGAGTTTTAAGAGGTACTAGAGGAGTTGATGAATTTGTTAAGAAGCCAAAATGTGTGAAAAGTGCTCAACTAGAAAGCACTTCAGCCAGATTCGGAGACCACTGAGAGATTCTCTGTGTGCCTGGTAGCACGTTTCAGTATTCAGCTGGATTCCCAAGAGCTGGTCTTTCTCTAAGGTGTTCTATTTACTGGCTCATTGGTGGCAAAGGGTTGAATTTTTCTGTTAACAGAAATGTTTAACCGAAGGAGTTGAAAATTCAGTTATGCAGATGACAACTTATTCTCACCTTATGATTATTATGTTTCACTTCAACAGAAGACTAGATTAGCAGCTCTTATATGAAAGATAGTTTTCACATTGTGTTGATAAGCTTTACTTCCCAAAGAAAGCTCACAACATACCTTGGAAGCCTGTTCCACTCTGGAGAAGTTTACTGTCCTATTGAATTAATATCTGTATGATATTAATATATCTAAAGATTTAGTAGACTTACATGTAACACTTCTTTGTGAGCTACATCTCTTTCTAATGGCAGTGGTGACCTTGGCTTTGCTGTAGATTTTGAGCGCTGTGCCCAATTTTGTTGGGACGCTGTGTCCTAGGCACAGAGATACGAACATTTTCAGATGTTTCCTTGCACATCTTCTAATATCCATGGGTATTCACCATCCACCCAGTTTTACTCCACAGGAGGCTTAGGACCCAGCATCTTTAGATTTGGTATTAAAGAAAATCCATTTGTAGATGATTGTATCTTAGTCTGAATATCTTGCAAGTCCTCCTTCATCTCTTGCATACGTTCAGCAAAAACTATGGGGCCTGGTGTCTGCTGACGATCCACACAGGCTGCTGATGGCTGAGTGTTGGCAGCTGCTTTCATAGCCCTTCTAATTCAGAGGAATGTGGCTGTCCAGCTTCTGATCACCAGCCCTCTAATTACTACCCATTCCCCCACCCCCCGGGCCTCTGGCCAAGAGAATAACCCCAAAGTGGCAAATCATGCTAGATACCTTGACTTTTCTTGCTTTCCAAATATAGAGAGCATTAGAATTTACAACTAGTGACTTGCACATGTCATTCATGACTGATGTCTGATTTTTCCATAGTGAAGTGTCTGTTCTATACTGTTTGTATTTGAAAACTGTCTTGGCACTTAAGTTAGAGCTGAAGTTACATGTTTCCTGAAAGCTGAATAATAGTTGTTGTGAAATATATATGCACTAACCTTTTCGAGACTGTGAAAGATCAGGTTAATTCAGCAATGAGAGGAAGAGAATGATCATATTAGATACTAAGCAACAGTTTTGTCTTCACATACTCCAGTACAGCAAAGGTGATGCACGTGGCTCTTGAAGAAACCAATCTTGAGTACAAGTTGAGGCGTATTTTCTTTTCCTGTGTTACTCTAACGCATCCAAAATTAAGCATACTTGTGCGGTTGAGGAGTTTAGTGCTTGAGAATTGCTATCTGTTAAGTTTTGTCTGTATGTTAGTTTCAAAAACCTAAGTCAAAAAGAGGAATTCATATTTCCCAATTTGGAATGTCCTTCTTGAAAAAAAATTGGGGATTATTTTATTGCAACTTAAATACACAAAACTTTTTATTGGAGTAATGAAATTTTGGTCTAATAGTAGAATTTTTGGAAAGAGTAGGAGACAGTAAATTGGCAGTAGAATATTAGCCATGATTTTACTTTAAATAGAATCCAAGATCTTTTGTGAGGTCCTTATACCTACATGTTCCAAATTCTGAGTGATCATTGAGACCCTTAAACTAGAAGATGTTTTTTTCTTTGCTTAGAGATGTAGTAAGCCAGGAGAGTGTGATAAGTTTTTAATTTTAACAGAAAAGATTTGTTGTTAAAATTCTTATAAACTGTAAAACGATCCCATTGCTATCTCCTTTAATCTTTGTCATTAGTTAGGCTTCAGATTGGACCTGCCCAAAAAAGGAATCAAGGTGAGAGGTATTTCCAGATAGCAGTTGTCTTGTCCAACCCAAATGAGCGCAAATTCAAGTGTGCCTCATTTGGTTTGCTGACATGATGGGTTCCACCTTGACAGCTGCCTGTAGGCTTGCCCCAGCTGCCCAAAAACTAAGCTGCTTGCAGCCTTTAGGGTATTTCATCAATTGCTTTGAAAATTACTCCATTCTCTTGCATTTATCATTTAATTGATCAAGTAATTGAAAATGAAAAGCAAAAGTCATGATGACATGTAGTATCAAGACAAATGAGCACCCATGTTTTTTCTCAAGAACTATTTTTATCTCCTTGTACCCATGAGTATTTCTCAAGTTAGCCATCTGTTTATCTCTAGCCTTGTAACCAGCAGAGATCCTGAATCCTGTGAGAAATCGAGGAGGAGGAAAGGACTAATGGGTTATGTATGTACAGGCTCTTATACCGGTCATACTCCTTTGTTACTTATTTCTTGACAGTCCTATGAGGGTGGTAGTCATTCACTCATTAAGGTATTCAGTTAACAGGTAATTATTGAGGGCCTGCTGTATAACTAGTACTAGGAAGCCCGTGTTGTGATGATTCAGTACAGCAACTTGCCCAGAGTTCCTTAGCTGGTTGTAGAGCCAGGTCTGAACCACCCAGTGTTCCTTGACTCTGTAGCTGGGCGTGTGTGTGTGTGTGTGCACCCTCTCTCCCAACTAGTCCATATTGCAGCATTCACAAAAATGCATCCTGTTAATGATACAGGATGGAGGAGAATCTCTATTACACAGGCCTTATTACAGATTAATTACTTAAAATTCCTTTCTCTGAGTGGTGAGCAA